AAAATCTTGAAGAAAATCAATAAAATATTTTGAACATTTTTTCATCCGTTTGAGATTGCAAAGAAGTTATAGAAAGTTTCGGATATATTGAATTTGATTTACATCATGCAAATACTGTTCAACAATACGTTAGATATTTCCCATCTATTTCTAAACATCTAAACATCATTGATTAAGAAAACTTTGCAATGAAAATAGTTATTAAGTTTAATAATGTTGCCTTATTATAAACGTTTCTAACAGCTCCGATAAAAAATTGATCAAAATTTACTCTTCCATATTCATTTTAAAAATATCTGTGACAAGTAAGGAGTTGTTAAAATTTCACAGAAAATGTTGCAATTGCCATTAAATATTTATCGCAATTATAAATAACTATCGCAATTATAAATCACGCAATAATGAAATAAAGAAAAATCAAGCCTTAATTATCAACATTTTAATGTAAGCTTTATTAGAAAATAATTTTAACTTAATCTTCCTTTTTTCATTCATCACATTCTTTGGTGAAAGATGATTCAGGATTCAAGTCATTCAAGACATCTTGTAAGTCAACGTTTAACGTTTACTTACGTTATACGTAACGTGAACCAAAACTCGTCTCTTGTATAAGTTAAGAGTTTCTCAGAATTTAAAACTAATTTTTATTTCATCTTTATAAATTATTTTTTTGCATCACAATAACGATCAAAAGTATTTATAAGCAGCGCCAAATAGAAAAAAGAAAATATCGCCAACAGAAAACTTTCTTAACAGAAAAAAAAAAATCCGTTACATCCCTCTTCAATTTAAAGTGATCCCTGTGCCACGCATAGATCTTTCAAGCGTTCATTGCGACATTAAGCTTTCACATTTCCGAATGCACCTTGTGTTGGGAGAAAATAAGGTGCCACTAATATTTATGAGTTCACATTAAGGCATTCTATTTCTCACTTCGATTCAATCTCTCTCTTTCCAAAACGCCATTACTTTCCTTTTTCTCTTACAGATTTCAGAATTGCATTAAAGCGCGCTGACTTATAGCGTGCCTGATTTAATAATGCAGATTATTGCTTAAAACTTGAATTTCAAATCAGTATGCATATTTTTCTTTCGTTATCCATAAAAATATAAATAATAGGATATTGCTTATAATATATATATATATATATATATATATATATATATATATATATATATATATTTATATNGCGAGAACTATTAACACAATTATTTAATTTAATTAATGATATATATATATATATATATTATTATTATTATTATTATTATTATTGAAACGTTTCGGTAAAAATTAACGAAATTTCGGTGTTCCCATGAAACCAAAAAGCAAGGCAAATTTGACCATATTCTAAAAGTTTTGACCATCCTTTTTTTCTCTGCGTAATTTTACCAAAGTTTGCAATTTAAATGATTAAATAACTTATTTAATTTTTCTACTTAATTTAGATTTAAATTTAAATTTTTAGATTTCATCATTGCACTTCGAAATAAATCAGTTTAAATTTTAACCATCATATCGGTGTCTGAACAGTAAATGTTATAAAATAACAAATTTTCATAATAATATTGTTAAATTGGACACCATATTAAAGCTGTTTGAATTTTTCACGATATTATGGTTCAGCGTGAATTAAAATTTATAACATATAATGTGTTAATCAGGATTTGTTGGTTAAAAAATAAGACAGATATGATGTTTTGAATTTTGTGTTAAGCATGTAGTCTTTAAAAAACTGTTACAAATTTATAATAAATATCATGATTTTGTTTAAATTTTATAGATAAAAATAAATTTTTTTGGAACTACTAAACGAATTGAAATGTATTTTAAAATAAAATAAAGTAAAATAAAAGAAGAAGCTTATGGGCTACTCTTTGATGGATAAGAAAATTTAAAATTACAATATTACTTACTTTTTTATGAATATAAATTATGAATTGTTATGTTTTGTATTCACACTTAAGTTGTTTTAGGTATAGAGATATATTCACAAAATATTTTTCGACAAGATATACCAATTTATTACTGTGTCACATACGCTACAAAAACGTGGACTTATGTTTATGGAAGTGCTTGACATTTCAATTCAAAATAATTCAACAAAAACTATTTTTCAGAAACAATCTAATTATTTAACTTTTCTTTTTTAAAATAGTAATTTCAACCATTATTTGTATGTTCAGATACGTAGCAAGCTTAAATAGAGCTTCTTTCATTTTAAGCATTTTTTATGGGCTCAACAATATACCTAAACACATTTTCTTAAAATCTGCCAACATATAAATTTTTTTCAGGATTAAAAATTTTTGCGTAAGTCAATCTTTTTTTCCAAAATAAAGGCGTCCAAATATGCACTTTTCAAAATGCTTAAAAAGACTTCCCTTCTTGTTCCTAATTATAAAAGCTAATTCACAGAAAGGATGTAAAATTTTTCAAACAAACGTACTGTCATAATTTATTATTGAAATTTTAGTAAAACTGCTTTTCCATTTTTAATCCGTTATTGTGCAACTGATTGGCTAGACAAGGGAAAAAACATAGAAATCAAACAACTAAACTTCACATTGTAATGTTTTTTTTCAATTTAAAATGAGACTGTCTAGTTAATATACACATTTTTTTTTTACAATTAAGGGTCTAGACACGATGCAAACATTACACATTATATTTTGTACTAAAGTATATAATATTCTTTTTAAACACTTTCAGCTGTATTTTTATCCCTCGAGAAATGGTTTAAAAGTAAGGAGTTTTTTTAGGACACAATATCGCGACAGCATTCATTTTAAGTTGTCAGCTCTAATTTACTGACCTTTAAAAATGTTAATTTTTTCCTGCATGTTTTCCCTCCATTTCAGTTTTTTCCCCTTTGTTTTCCTCTAATCTTGTTAAATCTGTACAAATTAAAGAAATGTAGTTCGAAGACTTTATTCGAAATTCGTGGGTATTAAATATTAAACGTTATTTCAGTTGTTCGTTTCAAAAATCATCTTATTTTTTTAGAAATCTTGGAGGACGTCTGAAAAAAAAAGTGATTTTCAAACATTTCTTAAATTTTTAACACTAATGTCAAAGAATTGTGAAGCATGTCCTGCAAAACAATATGCTAAACTAACATAATTAGTTAGCCCTTATTTCTGTCATCTCTTTGACATATTTTCTCTAGTGTTGTGCTAAAAAACCGTTATGCAAAAAGCAAAATAACTGTAATTTTAAGTAGCTTAATCAAAAATATAACGTCTTTCACACTTGGCAAAGAAAAGACTCTCTGAAGCGTAATTTAAAATGCGCTATGTTTTTGCATAAAAAGAAATATGTTAATTATAGTGAATTTTTGAGTTACGAACTTTTTTATTCAGTAATTTTTTTATAATTTGAATCCCGCTTAAATACACAGAAACTGGCGAAAGTCTTGAGATTAGGATTATATTTTTTGTTTTCACAATCTACATTACAATAAATATATTTAAGAAATTTTTCTTAATATATTAAGAAAAATCTATCTACTTTGTATAATTTCTTAGAAAATCTGATAAATGCGACTAGGATTTATAGAGATTATAATTATATAAAATGTATCGGAATCAGGAGTATCAAAAATATTTAATATAGATCAGGTTTTGTTCAAATTTAAAATAAACACTTTTTAGAAATGATTTGTTTTATTAGCAGATGTCAACTCGTTTGTGAAGAAACGATATGGAAATTTGATACAATTGAATTTAAACTTAAATATGGATTAGCTTTGTTAAATACAAAGATTTATCGGACACACTCAAAATTATAGGTAAATAATATGCGCGCCGTCTTTTCCTATTATAGAAATACATGAATTTAATTGAAATATAGTAATTTATTTGCATTATTCCTTAATTACCTTCCCTTTTTCTCATTTTCTGCCAATTTGTGATTATTGTTACCAAAGGACTTTTTTAAAGAAAAAAACAAAGTGCTAAGATTGACTTAATAAATAATAATAATAATATAACAATAGAATTGGAAAAAAACATCCGTAATTGTGATGTTGAGAAGCAAATACTAGTTAAAAACGTTTAACTATAATATAATTATATAATTCTATCTACTAAATAAGACTAAGCAATTGTGTCTTTTATTAGCCAATTTAAATATCGGATTCCAAACAACCAAAAATTTATTAAGTTAATAATGATTCCACTCTAAATAACAATAAACTTAAACCAGTCTTACTCCTGCAATTAGTCATTAATATATTTAATAATTATCGATTATTTTATTTAATAAAAGTTGAAAAGAAATTGAATTGTATAGTACGCAAATTTTTATATTATTATGAAAATTAAATTGCAAAATCTGTATGAAATCGGCCAAGATGATAAATTTTATCAGTGCGTACCAGAATTCTTCAATTCGCTTATATAGTTCTCGAAATAAGGCGAAATACGCTAAAAGTGAAATTAATATTAAGGTGTCCAAACTTTGGACCACTCTTCTGACCAAATTATTAGGACTATATTTCCCGGATTTCGGCTACCCGCTATGTCTTGAGGATCAAGAAACATAATTTATATAACAAAAGGTATGTTCTTTCAAAGAAAGTACGTTTCTTATGTCTGGTATGGTAACTACAATTAATAGTATAATTAATATTAATTAATTGGAATATTTGACGTCACCTACTTAAACCAATAGGATTGAGTCCTAGTACATGAAAATAGAACCATTGGATCAAAAGTTATTCAAAGTGTTTCATTTACTTTTTTGAGCACTATACATTTGATTTTGAGAGGCCATTCATATGTTTCATATCAGTAATGTTTTATGTTTGCTAAAACTTATTATAAATGACATGAAAAGCGACTCAAAAGCGGAATCGACGTGAAATCACGAATTTTAATAATTTAGTTTATTAAATATGGCTTAATAATTGGTTCATTCTATGCGGCCAATCAAATTAAAGCAATGTTACGTTTGCGAAATTATTGTAAAGTTAGAGGGGAAAAAGATCATATGCACTTACCAGTGATGATGGTGTTCGTATAGGCATTGACCATAACCTTTGGACTGCTTCGTAAGGACAAATCCTTTGCTTCATCGTTGGTCCCAGGCTCCAACTTGAGCATGGTCTTTCCATCTTCAATTTCTTTTTTGAATATATTTGTTCGATTTTCTTGTGGGCCCCTTTCACCGAACCTGTAATTGCTCGGTGAATTGGGCAATGCAAGGTTTTTTTCTGCCCTATTTCGACTTCGGTGCAAATGATGGTGTTGATGATGGAGTCCTTTCCTGTTGCAAATGGGTGCAGAGATGCTTGGTGCCTTGGAGCCAGACACCAGAGATTGAGGGGGATTGTCCTCGCGATCACTGTCGAAGTCCACGGGACCTTCATCTTCCAGTATGATGAAATTGTTCTCTTTGTTGCAACTGTTTACTTTGTGTTGGATGAATTTAACAATCTCGGAAAGGACGAACACTTTCTGGCAGGAGCCGCATGTCAGTGTGTCCTGCAGTAGTTCGGCTTCAACTGTTAAGAGAGAAACGGAGAAAATTTTAGAAAATTATTGAGTAAGAGTTTTTCTACCTAATTTTAATGATATTTTCTTACAGCAATTAGCAATAAAACAAACTTTAAAACAATTTCAAAAGTATAAAATCATTTATTGAACACTTAATTAAAAAAGTGAAGCATTGTAAGACATTGTGAAAGGACATGATTAAGTTTCCCAGTTATTTAAGTGCCAGTCATAATATATAATGTTATAGAATATACGCTCTTATGATAGTATTATTATGGTATTAATATATTATGGTATTAATATTATAGTATATTATAGTATTAATATATTATTATATAAATAAAATTTGCAGCTCAATATATCTTAATAATGAAACACGTTTGACACCATGATTTTTTTTCATCTTTTTAAAAAAAAAAAAAACAAGAAGACTTATGCACAAAGGCGGTAAAGTTATAAAATATACTTTGAGAATCCTAATTTCAGAATTTGTGCATGGTTTTATGAAACTATTGAATGGAGGTAAGATGAACATTACAGTTCATTCATGGTTAAAACAATGTGTAATAGTTTACGTAAAAGTGCACCAAGAGTTAAAGATTTCAGTACATAATTCGAAAAAAATGTTAAACCAATATACTATTTAAATCAATCACTGATATTTCAAAAAGCAGCCTAAAAAGCTATTTATGGTGTGAAAAACTAAGTAACAAACAACGAATTCGGAGTGTACAGTGTTTATTATTTAATGATATCTGTGTGCGTATAAAACACAAAATCAAGATTTTACGGAGAAATTGTTTGCAATAAAAACGATGTAAATATCATGGTTCATATCCATTTCCTTAATTACTAAGAGTTACTAAATATTTAAAGAATCGAATCTCTAATTTAAATTATATAATGTTTATTTTTGCAAGAGTTGGCTTTGCGGTTAAGAAAATATGCATTAAAATCTTTTATTAAGATACTGTTAATAGTAAAATCGAAACCATTATTGTATTTTATGTCTACTTCTCTAACAACTGATTTAAGTACTAATTCACAAATAACGAATTCAGAACACTGAATGAGCTAGTTTTGTGTAAAAAACACAAATTTAAATAAATTTACCTCGGAAAAAAAGAAGAAATGAAAACTAAATAAATAAATTACTCTTCTAATCTAAACTGACTTGGTTCTAAATCGTTTTAAGCGCCAAGAAGTCATTTTTCTAAGTCTCATCGGCGTAAGAATATTGTGTCATTATGGAACGCAGTAAAGCAGTGGGGGGAATTTTTCTGTGTAAATTATTCCGGATAACAAACGACAATTTCCACACTTCATGCAGAACGAACGATCAGGGTACCATTTATTCATCTTTCTATCCGTTCCATTGTTCCATGGCTTACATTACACGATAATAATAAAATTTTCTGTTCCCTCCGAAAATTCAGTAGCGTTCGAAAATGTCTGTCCGGACATTTTAGAAGGGAAGAAGGCATTGTGAAGTTGTTCCATTAATTGGTGAAAAGCTAGGAAGAAGAACAGATTGACTGGACGATTTCACGAGCTGTTAACCGAGTAATTAACCCTTTTGTCTCCGCCTGCCATTTTTGAGACATCGGGGACTGTAATCAAATTGAATCATTTGGTTTTTTTTCTTTCTTCTTCCCTTCTTGCAACGGGGCTTTGTTTACGAAATGGTTTATAAACGAAATGGTTATAACAGAATATATGACATATTTGTTAGAGAATTTATAATACAGTTGTTAGGTTTTGAATATACAGTACAGAACCCGTTATCCGGAAATCAGAAAACCGGAGCAAAATTAGATAAATTTTCTCGCCATTTTTAAAAAAAAATTTTTTTTTACTCGTAAGATTTTACGATTTTTATTTCTTTTTTTAAAGATGTTTGCCTTACCATCATTTTGGAAATAATCATTAGTGTACTACCAATTTTTTTTTTTTTTTTAGTTGGGTTTAACAATAAAAAAAACGGCTTTTTGTAGCGATTCAGAAAACCGGAAAAATCAGTTATCCGGAATAGCGATGGTCCCGAACGTTCCGGATAATCGGTTCCCTACTGTATCTTATAATAATAAGATGAAAAGTTTGACTTCTTGTTTTTCCTCTTATAACTCTAGAACCGTCATAAAATTTGAACTCTCGATGATAGGGGCAACTTTTGTCTGGAGAAACGCTTGAAAAATAGAATTTTCTCATTGGCCATTGATATAACTTAAACTGCTGACAATTCTGTTTTTTTTTTTTCTCCAGATATTTTAATAATAAGATCAAGGATTTTTGCTAGTTTATAGCTCTCATTAATAAAAAAGGAACTTTTTGCACGTTGTTTCATATCTAATTATTTTTTATTCATTGTGTCAGATAAATTAAATGATTAACGCAAACTTGATGGCGTAAATGGTCTACGTCACCAAATTAGTATTCCTAAAGTTATATGAAACCACGCGTTTATTTTGTTTACAGTTACGTTATAAAATTCAACTTTATAAAATTAAATAATTTAAAATCAACGTCTTTCGAAATAATATAAATAAGTCATATACTGAAAAGCAATATTAATGGATTAATAGCACAAATTTGTTTAGAAGAAAAGTAAAAAATTTTTACATTATCATTGAAGCCAATGAAGCTTGATTAATTTCAATAATAGGTACTACTTGAAATAAAAAAATTATAAGCTGTGCTCTAAAAAACAAAATTAATGGAGTAGGGGAAAAATAACCTAGGAAAACCGTAAAAAAACTGACAGTGTGCTGTTTTAATAGGTTCCAAAAATACTAATGTATGGGCAATGTATTATTATAGGGTATTTGGCATCTGTTAAAATTGCATCAATATTGTACAGTTTTAATATAGGTACTGAAGAAAGAGAATTTTTTCTGCTCCTCGAAAGTAATAGATGGTGGTAAATATATGTAGTGGTAAATTCATGAATTGACCTCGTGTAACCTTTGATAATTTCCTTTTTATAATTTACATCAGGATTAGAAATAAAATATTTCTATTGTTTATTTGCACATTAGGAGCACATTTTATTTGACTACTACAGTTCTCAGCAAATATTGTATATCTAAGACAAATTCCACACATCTATTAATTATCCATACTAATAAAACCGATATTTATACCCCAATGATGATAAAATAAAAACAATAATTGTTTAGTCGAGTAAAAAAATGGAAATGCGAAAACTTTGTGAGAAACAATAAATACAGAGTCTAGGAGTTTTCCTTTAAGTTCAACTACAACATTTCAGTACTTAATTTTCTGTTTGAAAATGTAAAATAATTAAAAATGTTTTCCTAATTAATCCAAATTAAATTAGTTATATTACATTCCTGCAGAATCTAGTAGTTAGAAGTAATACATCCCATCAAATAATCCAATATTCTCTACTTATTAAAACACTAAGCTTCCTATTTTATCTAAACTGAACTCATCAGCCCATGAAAACCTAATCATTATGAGTTATCTACTATTTGGATGTTCTAACATTTTCCGTGCCGAAATTTAGGAAAAGCAACCACTCCCCATCCAATTCCGGAATTCAGGATATAGAAGGTGGGAACCAGTGATACTGGACTGAAACTTTTCCTAACGATTCTAAATTAGGAAAGGCTCATTCTCTCCTGGAAATGCTGCATTTTATTTGCTTATTTTCCTTTTCATAGGCAAAGGCCATTTTTGATTTACTCGAGTGGAGGGAGGGATTGAAACGGGGATCGTTTGCAAATTTAATAAAATGTTAGAGAAGAATTTTAATTTAAATCAAGGAGGAAGAATTAGAATAGGGAAGTGAATATAAAGGGGATGTATAAAAATTTCATTGCGCCATTTGACTTGTTCACTATTGGAGATTTTAGAACGTGTTAAATTACAATATCCTTCAAATTAGTTACAGCATTAGTATGACGTCAACTGGAACTATACACTGTAGAAAATTCTTGGTCAAATTATTGTAAAGTATCAGTTATAAAATACGAAAATGCATTTAATAATTTTCTATTTATAAATAAATTTATTTCAAAGTCACTTTCAGTTCTGAAGTTATTTTCGTTAATTTAAAGTAATCATATGAATTAATTTATAATGAAATAGTAGTTCCCATAATTTCATCGGTATAATTACTAAGTAAATAGTATTTTTAAGATTTTCTATCATATTTTAGATTCGAAAAAAATGCTTATGTCTGGAAGGATTTTTTTGTCAGAAAAAGTACCACATTCATTAGTTTAGTTGTAAGGACACTCGGTAAAAAAATCTGTATCGAATTGCTGTAAAGAGTGCTGGTATTTTGGGTGCATGATCTGAAAAATCCATGTTACCATAAAATATTACACAGCAATTTTTACAGTAATATTTATTTAAAGAGAGTGATTCAGTGATTTTACTGTGATTATTACTGCAGGAATTACGATACATTAGATTTTTTTTTCCGTAACATGTAACCGTAAAAAAATTTTTTGTGGTAAAAAGTACTGACACCCTGAGTCGAAACATTCAAACGAAATAAAATAATATATGCATTCAATTCCAAATGAAAACATGGTTCAATTTAGCATCATGTTAAGCGGTAAATTAACATTTTGTTATGATACACTGTACCGGTATTACAGTAAGAAGTTTAATAAAATTTTTTGATAGTATACAATTATCAGATTACTACAGTGAGAAAAATTACTGATCAAATTATGATATATAGTGCTGGCATGGTGGGTGCATCTTCTGTAAAATCCATTTTACCGTAAAATCTATTTTTACTGTAAAATATTATAACGTAAATTTTACAGTAATATTTATTTAATTAGAGTGATTCGGAAATTTTTTGGTAATTATTACTGTAAAAAATTTCGGCAAATTAGATTTTTTATTCTGTTACATGTGAAAATAGATTTTACGGTAAAATGTATATGGCAGCCTGAGTGCCGATACTTTTTACAGTAATTTGATCCGAAAGTTTTGCAGTATATCAGAAAAATTGACGAAATGATTTTCT